CCTTTTCAGCACTTCAATACATGAGGCTATTCAAACAAGAAAAAAGGACAAACCAATAACAGGAGCAACACAATAAGCAGAAATATTGAGATAGTCATATTAACTAAAACATGCAAAAAACTTGCTTTCTATTGTCTTCTCCTCCTTAGCCGATGCTTTTTTTTTTTGTGTACGGGGATGTTCTGGGGGATGCTGAGGAATAATGTCTCTGTGTGATGCTCTTAAAAAAGGCAATGTCCTTAACTTATTGTACAGCCAATCATATGAATCATTCCTGCTGCTGTTCCCGCAGATTTTCACACTAAATGTCACACTGGCCATTTGCTCTCTTACTTTTTAGAACAACCTCCTGCTATCGTGTCACACCCGTCCTAAACAACACTGGCTGTCTACATTCAGTGCCAGTATGTGCATGTGTGAGTGAGAGACGTGACGTTGAGTATGTGTATGCGTCTCTCTCTTTCTCCTTCATAATAACTTAAATCACTTTTAATTAGCTGCGGCAGACTAAAGATCTGGAGAGGCTTATTAGAACAGAGACGTGATGTTTTTCAGCCTTCTATACGTCATTTAAATGGTGCTCCTCATTTGGGAGTCACACTTGTTATCTTCGCGGTCAAATTTGAGTGAACACCTGAAAATGAAAGGTGTCATTTGACATTGAACATACATGGAACATACATTTATGAATTCTCTAGTAGTTTTTGGAAAATTACTTCCTTTAATATGTGGATTTGCATGTATTTTTTTTTTTTTTTTTTTTTTTTTTAGAAATTCTCCAATAATACTTTTTGTCAAGGTTTATAAAAAAAATAAACCTGTTTTGCACTAATGATGTTTTAGAGTTTCACCCCTTCATTGCTGAGCACTTTTTTCTGCATCATGGCTGATTTGAAGATAATTTTTATGTTTTTGTCGATTTCGCATTAATTTACTGTATATGGTCGGTCATTTTTGACCTAAGATCACTAGTGACCACTTAGCCTGCTTGCATCATGCCCTCAATTTTTTTTTCTGTGTTCACATTCCAAATGCCATAAAAGTCAACAAGTTTCGTACCATTCTGATGATGTTATTTTATTAAAATTCTAAACAGAAAATATTCCAGGCAAAGGAGATCAAAGAGCACCAGAGGGTTGTATTGATCATGTATTACTGTATATATATCATAAAGTAGCCTGAATGTTGGGGTTTTACAGGAATTCATATTTTTCAGCCTTTAAATTAGACCTGAATACAGTCAAGTTAAAATAAAAGAAAATTTGCAAATAGGTAGTTCTGCATTGTAGCAAAATATATTAATAATTTGATAATTAGTGTTTTTTTCTGAAATATACACTATGTAGTACCAGATTTATTTACGTTTTAAAATGTAATTATTCCTGTGATATCTGAATTTTCAGCATCATTATTCCAGTCATCAGTGTCACATGGTCCTTCAGAATTAATTCTAATATGATGATTTGATGAAACATTCATCATTATTAATACTACCATTAATGTTGAAAACACTTTTGTGGACACCATGATAAGTTTTTTTTCAGGATTTCTTTTTCTTTTTCAAAATAGAATGTTCATTTACATCCATGCTGAGTAAAAGAATTCATTTCGTTTAAAACATTTTTTTTACTGATCCTAAAATTTTATCAGTTATTTGTGTGCTGCAATGTTAACCACTTTTGAAGAAAGTGCGTATGTCTAAATGTTACAGGATGTTTTTTTGAAAAACCAACTTCTTCATGTACGGGAACATATTTTCCTTGCATGGAAATGAACATGTTTTCACAGTTTATATTAAAAATAAACTGTAGAAAGTTTCCTAGTAACCTCAGCGACAGAAATAAGCCCACTAATATATATATATATATTTAAATATATATTTCCATAGCAGCCAGATACCAAGAATGTCTCGCCTTAGTACCACAGCACATAATGATAGTTTCCGTAGCTGTCAATTATATCATCTCACCATCTTGGAAAGCTGAATCTGTCAAAACAGCTGTCTTCTTTGGCATTAACGGATTGATAGAAAAAGACTGTGTGAATAAACACACTTACACACATGGTTTGAACACCAACTTTAGTGTCTCTATAAAAAACAACAACTTGTGAATACATAAAGTTTACATACAATGTGAGTGTATATGTACTGTATGTGTGTGTAAATATCCAATTTTTAATTTATTCCCATTTAAATTAATTAATATTAATAATATTAATATCAATTATCCCTACTTATAGTTCTACATAACATGATCATTCATTTTAATAAAAGATTTCTAAACAAATCTGAATGTCTTATGCAAATGTTGAAGCCTGAAATGTTTCTGTGCAGAATTCAAAAACACAACATTCTTTTTATTGTTGACTTGTCTGATTTTGGCCTTTTTTGGGCTTGATCAAGCTCTACAGGTTGATATTAGGCATATTTTTGTTTTTACATCTAGAGTAGTCTAACACAGCGCATTCTTCCTCGCTTATCTGATACCACGGACCGATTCCAGCCTCTGATAACGATAAACATTAAAAACGAGCAGACAAATTGGCAATCTCTCATACATTCGTGTATCTGAACTATAACAGAATAATTTTATATCAATACTATCATTGTATGAAATAATATTAGTAACAGATGAAGCAAAACCCTATCAGATGTCAAGGGCCTTTCTCTATTGTACGCATATGAATTAGGATCCCCCTGAATAGTTTTAATTTGCTCATTTAGTATCCTCAATGGCTTCATACTCTCATACTCGCGCTCATTTATTTGTTCATTAATCAGTGGCGCAGATGCAGGACTCACATTAGGAGTTGATCTGTGGACTGAGGTTGATGGTGGTGAGGTCATGCGTCTAACTTACTTAAGCTTTATTTATAGTTTCTCTGCACCAGTGCCGTCTATTGATTCTTACTCAAACATGGAACAATTGAACACATTGATGGATGAAATGCATATAGTAGATGTGTAAAGAGTAACATAATACCGATCCATTGCATGCTTTCAATCTCTTTAACAACGTTTAATAAGGGCTTTATTAAGATTATTTGTCGAAGCTCATCTGAATGACTGACCGAATGAAATATGGAGTGGAAAAAAATAAACAAATACAGTGAGAACAAATACACTGAGTTTCGGTTCATATACTATTATTTCCAAGTCTTTTGTGTACGTAATTAGGGCGGTTTAATTGGAACCAATAAATTGATACCATGAAGGAAAGGAGGCTGTTTAGCATCACAAACCATATACTTCTTTTTACTCATGCACTCACAGTCAATCAATTCTTATATAATTACCACCACCCCTGCAAAACTTAAGTGAAATGAATAGCAAAGTTGCCATGGAAACAGTACACAGATCTTTTAGTTTTCTGCCACTGATCCAAAGACTTCAGAATAAAACAGGAAGTCTATATTTAGCATCTTAACGAAAAGGCAAGAATCTTGAGAGTCACACAGTGTTCTACAGTATATTATAATGATGAACATCCTGAATTTACTTTGTGCATTTATGAAAGACAGAGCAAGTGACTTTTTCCATCTCACCATTTTCCAATTCTTTCCTTTGTGTGTCTATATTTGGTGTGTACAGACAGTAACTTCCTGCTGGGAAATGCTCAGGGGAGTCGCGGGTACCCCATTGTGTACTGTTCGGATGGGTTTTGCGAGCTCACCGGGTTTGCACGTACCGAGGTAATGAAGAAGACATGCACATGTCAGTTCCTGCACGGACAGGAAACAAGCGAGAGAGTCACTCAGCAGGTGGAGAAAACCTTGGAAGGACAGAGAGAGTTCCAGACAGAGGTCCGCTATTACAGGAAGAACGGTAAAAGAATAATTCTTCAAAATGCATTGGACAGAGTGTCGAGATCTGTATGATTGACGACATTAAATGAGATGTTGTGGGCGGATTAAATACTAAAGCTTTCACGGTTTGCCTTCTGTGACCAGGTACCACATTCTGGTGTCTGCTGGACATTGTCCCTATCAAAAATGAGAAAGGAGAAGTTGTTCTTTTTCTCTTATCCTTCAAAAACATCACTGATTCGTATGGCAAATCACACCCCGGCTCCACCACAGAAGGTAGCTGCCAACAAAGCAAAGTTGATCCAAATTGAAGTTGATCTTTTAGAGGTTTTGCATCTCATATTTTGACACTTAGTTTTTCTTACTTGTTTCAGAGGATGGTGCTCACAACAGGAAGTCCGGTCGAACTCATCTGAGTCAAGCTCGTGAGCGTGGCCGCAGCGTTCTGTATCACCTGACCTGTCAGTTCACCAATAGGAGCAAAAGGAAGCTGCCAAATGTAAGCACATAAAATCACCTAAAGGATTATTAGGAACACCATACTAATACTGTGTTTGACCCCCTTTCGCCTTCAGAACTGCCTTAATTCTACGTGACTTTGATTCAACAAGGTGTTGGAAGCATTCTTTAGAAATGTTGGCCCATATTGATAGGATAGCATCTTGCAGTTGATGGAGATTTGTGGGATGCACAACCAAGGCACTAAGTTCCTGTTACTCTATTGGGTTGAGATCTGGTGACTGTGGGGGCCATTTTAGTACAGTGAACTCATTGTCATGTTCAAAAAACAATTTGAAATGATTCGAGCTTTGTGACATGGTGCATTATCCTGCTGGAAGTAGCCATCAGAGGATGGGTACATGGTGGCTATAAAGGGATGGACATGGTCAGAAACAGTGCTCATGTTGGCCGTGGCATTTAAACAATGCCCAATTGGCACTAATACCGCTTCGGCTCGGCATGGTTCGGCTTGCTTTGCTTTTCCACAGCACGGCACGGCTCGGTTCGCTTTAGCTTGGTTTGCTTTTCCATTGCAGTTAGTAGCGCTTCAAAGTCGGTGGGATTATATTATAGTCTGACTGGGTTTGTTGTCTTGCAAATACAATGACGCTGGTAGTGACGATTCTGTCTGACTCTGACCAATCAGTGATCTGCAGTATTTTCACGTCATATTTTAGTATCGGTAAAGTACGCATGGAACCTCGACAGAGGTGGTACCATTTAAAGTGAGCAAAAGCGAGCCGTACCGTACCGTACCATGCAGTGGAAGAGCACCATGAGGGGCCTAAAGTGTGCCAAGAAAACATCCCCCACACCATTACACCACCACCACCAGCCTGCACAGTGATTACAAGGCATGATGGATCCATGTTCTCATTCTGTTTACACCAAATTCTGACTCTACCATCTGAATGTCTCAACAGAAATCGAGTCTAATCAGACCAGGCAACATTTTTTCAGTCTGTCCAATTTTGGTGAGCTCTTGCAAATTGTAGCCTCATTTTCCTATTTGTAGAGGAGGTGAGTGGTGCCCGGTGGGGTCTTCTGCTGTTGTAGCCCATCCGCCTCAAGGTTGTGCGTGTTGTGGCTTCACAAATGCTTTGCTGCATACCTCGGTTGTAACGAGTGGTTATTTCAGTCAAAGTTGCTCTTTTATCAGCTTGAATCAGTCGGCCCATTCTCCTCTGACCTCCAGCATCAACAAGGCATTTTCATCCACAGAACTGCCGCATACTGGATGTTTTTCCCTTTTCACACCATTGTTTGTAAACCTTAGAAATGGTTATACGTGAAAATCCCAGTAACTGAGCAGATTGTGAAATACTCAGACCGGCCCGTCTGACAACCATGCCATGCTCAAAATTGCCTAAATCACCTTTCTTTCCCATTCTGACATTCAGTTTGTTCGCCACAAAAGGGTAATCCAAAAACGTAATCCAATAAACAGGCAAGAGGCCATAAACACAAACAATCCAAAACAAACTGAGACAAACAGGGTAATCCGGCAAACGGGGTAATCATACAAACAGGGCAATCCCGAATACAGGCAAATTGTCAACACCATGGAACAGGAAACCAGAAGAAATGCTGTGTAACCCATACAAGACTTTGCAATGAGTGACTGAGTTAACCAGGTTTATATAGACAGAGTTAACAAGGGTAAATGACAAACAGCTTAAAAAAATTATTTTCGATTCTGGGAAATGCAGTTCATGGTGGAATGGCAATGTACTGGGGAGGAGTGCACTCTGGTGGATATCCTGGGCATTCCAGGATTTATCTCTGCCATTGTGTTCGGTAATAGCCTCTATGCACGATCGCTTCCGGGTTTGTCTCAGCACGCCCAGTTACATCCGGTGCTGCGTCAGTCTGTGGTCAGAAGCCGGTTTTGCGTTAGGTGGAGATAGTGTCAAATTACACTTGCTGTTTATAAAAACGTCCTGCGGTTAATGTGAATGATGTTAACAACACTATGAGGCAGTTAGCTGTCACACAAGAGTAAAAAAGAGAAGTTATTTAAATTATATATTTCGAGCTACATCAACAACTTTGAGGGTTAGTATTCTCTCATATCGTACGAAATTCGACTAGCGAATCAGCGTTTCTAAAATCGTCGTCTCCGTTTCGGAGAAAACGGATTTTATTAAAGTTTTGCCTCTATACACTTGGCCTGCAGAACGCGCTTCCGGAAGTAAAGACGCTGACTGAGATTCTTTCGGACACACGTCAGCAGGGTTCGTGCATAGAGGCTATTGACTGACCTTACAAACCCATTGACACTTTTAAAGAGTAAATGTACTTGTACTTCCAGCTAACGAGATGAATCAGAAATATAGTTGTTAAAATGAAAAGATCAGACTCATTGAATGTCTGGAATTGTATTGATATCTAGAAGAATATTCAATATTTGCATCCAACTGGCGATTCTTACTCTCATAAATAAAAATTTCAGACACCAGCCCTTTGTACAGGACAATCAGTCCTGACACTTGGAAAAGAGCACACGGTTTCCCAAATCCTTACAACTCACTAAACACCTACATTGTGTTGGATTTTCATGCTTTTTGATACATTTTGTGTACACAACTAGTTTTGTATACAAAATCACATCTATTGAACTTTCAGTGATGAAATGATCTGTATGAAACACAAATTTAAAACCTGAATGCCTGGGGCCTCAACATGCCTGAGGGAAAAAAAGAAGAAGATAGAGTTGGACCTTGGTCACAGTGAAAATAATTCCAAACAGCATATTAAATTTTTTTTTTGTACAGTGACCTCGGTTTGATTGCAAATGGTGGATGGTGATAGCAAGGACATAGAACCTTAATATGGTAGAAAATGTTGAAAAGACTATTATAGTCTTTTCAACATTTTCTACCATATTAAGGTTCTATTATAGTTAAAATCTAATTTGTCTTAAATGGCTAATGTCAGAAATATCTACCAAAATCCAAATCTCATGTGATTTTACATTATTTTTTAAGGCTTTGGAAAAAAATGGATTATCCAATTAATCGCTATCTTCATTTGATCTGCCTGATCAGAAAAATCTGCTATTTCAGAGGCTGTGTGACTGTATTTTTACAGCACTTACAGTCCTGCATTTCGGATGATCTATGATAACTAGAAGGTGCAGTGCTTTCTGATTATGACGTCTGTGCTGAATGCAACACAATGAAAAGAAAGAATAATGGAAATAAAGGTCTTTGTGGAAATAAAGCTTTTTGTTTGAGATGTCCTTGTGGGCTGCAAGTATGAAGAACATAGGCTACAACACGACCAGTGTAGTTCGATGAACAAATGAATCATATGTGACAGATATATTTAACAGAGGGCCACCATTGTAGTGTCGTGTGATTCCAGAAACAAAAGACTCTTATGATGAGCCGCTTTTGTTTAATGATTCGTTCTAATGAAGATGATTTGAATCAATCCTAAACACTGCCCTGCATTTCACAGCATATGTTAAATGTTACTGCTCATAATGAGCATAATGAGCTTTACCTGCACCTTTTCACTTTTTCTTACAAATATTTTTTCTAAATGCTGCAGGTGTAGAGTCAATGAACATTAATTCGTTCTCTAAGCTAAGCTAGTAAAAAATATTCTGTGGTGAACTGCACTTGCCTCAAATAATCCTCAAGAATGGGCATTTACAACATGGTATAAAAAATAATTGTGGTGTATTTTGAGCTGCAACACATTCTGGGGACACCTGAGATGTATATTATTGTAAAAAGGGGATAATACTGTAGGTCCCCTTTAAAGAATGTAAATAGTTCAGATGGTTTTAGCTATATGAACAAAACTTTAGCTTAAGTTCAGTCTTTAGCAGCAAGGTAGCCCACCTTTGTCTATCATAACCAAACGCTCTAAAAGGTTACTGGTTTGTGCTCAATGTAGCGAGAACTTCTGTTAGGCTACTCTTATTTTGCTTTTTAAAGAGGTGATAGTAAATGCACATTGAACATTTTGGCATGCTGGGTCACCAGTTAATTTAAAAACTCCAATAATACAGGCACAGCGTGGCCCACATTCACTCAAGAGATTTATTAAAGAATATTTGAATCAGATCAGCCGTTACTAAAGTCAGAAAACTACAGTTGAATTAGGGAGAAGACATAGCATGCAGCTTTTATGATTCATATCAACTCTAATCATCGACTGCTGAGAAATAATTTGCTTGCGCATACAAAAAGAAAACCCTTCCACTTATGAGGCTGTTAGTAATAATGATTATGTCCTAGTTTCAAACTATTGTTTTCCTGAAATGTGTAGGGTTTATTATAATTCAAAAACATGTGGAGGCTGTGACGTACTGCTCTGAGACAATAAGGTTGAGGATCCAAATGCAGTTTAATCGAAAGGGTAATCCACAATCAAAGTAGAAAACAGGCGAGAGGTCCGAGCACAGTAAATCAGTCCAATCAAACAAACAAATCCAGAGGGTGAGACAGGAATGGAAAAACCAACACGCAGACAGATGTCAAGAATCACGAACATAGAAAACAGAGGAATTGCTCAGAAATGCAGTATAAACACTAAACAAGACTTTGCAGGGAATGGCAGAAAGAACCAGACTTAGGCCCTGTTTACACGAGAACGCGCGGGTGAAAACGTAAAAATATTTTATCGGATGCCTTTCGTTTACATAGCGACGGCGTTTTTGAGGCTTAAAAATGCAAAAAAGTGAAACCACCCTCCAGAGTGGAAATCTTAAACGCTCCACCGCCGCGTTCCCATGTAAACTGTAAAAACGCAAAAGTTTGCTTGACAGTGAAGGTTGTACGCAGGTGCGTGGACTTGGTGTTGTTGTAGTATGCACTCCTAGCCGCCTGAAGTGCATACTACATTGAATTTCACACACTTTTGCGTCACCATTTGCACGCGGATTTCCCACACAAAACGCTCGTCTAAACGCAGAATAAAAAGTGATGACGCAACGCCACTTTTGCGTTTTTCTGTGTAAACATAGCCTTATATAGGGTGAGCAAACAAGATGAGACACAGGTGAAAACAATGAGTGCTGATGAGTCCAGGCAGAGAATTATGGGAGATGTAGTTTTTGAGGGAATGACAATAGTCTAATGTGGACTGCCCTCTGGTGGCTCTCAAGGGCACTCCAACTAGTTACAGAGGCATTTTGTGAGTGTAGAAATAAAAAATTGTTTCTTTTTATGTTCTGGTTACACTTTATTTTTAATTTATTTTTGTTGCACTGTAATTATACATTTAAGTACTGAGCAATATTAAGCAATATTTGGGTTGATTTGGTTTAATTTATAGTTATTATTGCTATAGTAACTGCATGTAACAAATATAAAAATGACCATGTAAAAATAAAGTGTTACCCATGTTCTTTCCACAGCATGTCTTTTCACAGCCAACTCTTCCGGAATACAAGGTGGCGTCTGTGCAGAAATCCCGCTTCATTTTGCTTCATTACAGCTTGTGCAAAGCATTGTGGGATTGGTTGATCCTCCTTGCAACCTTTTATGTAGCTGTCACCGTCCCCTACAACGTCTGCTTCTCCACCCCCGATGACAGCGAACAAGACAACCCGGACTGTGACTCGGCCTCCAGAACCACCATCGTCAGCGACATAGCTGTGGAGATGCTCTTCATCCTCGGTATGTGTCACCGTTGTTGATTTTGTGGGAAATTGTGTCCTATGTGTATCTGTTCTTGCTTGGGGTTAATTTCCACCTCTGTTCCATTTTTAAACAGTGTTAACTTCTGACTCGAGCTGCTTTCACCTTAAACATGTTACCGAAGTGACAATCGCACCCTCGTTTCCACCTGAGACCATCTTTATAATCCCCACTCTCAATCCAATCTGCTTTTTACACAAAACATAAAATCTCTTTTTATGTAAAAACAATAATGATAGTAATACAGAAGCCCCACTCTGACCTGAAGTCAGCAGTAATTTATTCAATCTCATGTACGCAGATGTGGTAAAATAATTGGTTGATGGCACTAAATGTTCTATGTAATGAGAATCTGCACAGGAGCCATGAATATTTATTTAGTCCAGCATGTACAAGGTTTCATCACTCCAATTAGCATGTTTTAATATTTATGCATCCACTGTCAATATTTGGCACTGTTTATAAAATTGTGAGTGCTCTGGTGAGTAATATTGTTTGATTTTTGAATGCTGTTAACAAATCATATTTCTAAAGATGGCTTATCTCTCCCATCCTAGATATCATTCTGAATTTCCGAACCACCTACGTTGGGCCTGCGGGTCAAGTGGTTTATGATGCCCGCTCGATCTGTTTGCACTACTGTACTACCTGGTTCATCCTGGACCTCATCGCTGCTCTGCCCTTTGACCTGCTCTATTTATTCAACATCTCGGTGGTAAAAATACATATTAAAAAATACATTGTTGCATGCACATATACAATGCGCCAACAAAAATATATAAAAAAAATATATAAATACTTTTCACATTTAAATAATATATTTTCACATCTTAAACCTCAAAAGATGTACTCATACAAATATAATTGTGACTAGCTGGCATATCTCTTCTATTTATTGATGGATATTTTTAATAAATATATTATAGTGGAAGGCTGCTCTTAATACGTGTGTTTGTTTTATAGACTTCCCTTGTGCACTTGTTGAAGACAGTGCGTTTGCTGCGTCTCCTGCGCTTGCTGCAGAAGCTGGATGGTTATTCTCAATACAGTGCTGTGGTCCTGACACTATTAATGTCTGTGTTTGCCCTGCTGGCACATTGGTTGGCATGTGTTTGGTACGTTATTGGACGCAAAGAGCTTGCCAGCAACGACCCCCTGACCTGGGACATCGGTGAGGGACTGTATGTTTTCTCTGTGTACTAACTGTACCATTCAAAAATTCTGGGTCAGCAAGACTTTTTATGTTTTTGAAAGTGTTAGGTTGAGTCTTATGTTTTAAACCATATCAAAAATACAGAAAAAACTAATATTGTACAATAAGTAGTAATAAGTAATAAAAAGTAATATTGCACAATTATTATGACAATTTAAAAAGATCTGTTCTCTATTTGAATATATATATATATATATAGTAAAGTGTAATTTATTCATGTGGTGTCAAAGCTGAATTCTCAGCATCATTACTCAAACAGTAATATTTTTGTGGAAAATATTTTTTTTCACAGAATTATTTTTTTAATATAAATATACAATTCAAAAGGACAGTATTTATTTGAAATGGAAATGTTCTGTAACGTTATAAAAGCTTCTACTACAAGCTTCTACAATTTAAGGAGTCAATTATGAATAAATGTTTATTTGAAAAAAATACTGATCCGAAACTTTTGAATGGTAGCTAGTGTAAATCAACTATTAGCTTCTTTTTTAGATCACTGGATTTTCAAGTCAATATGGAGTTAAAGTTTCAATCCCTTATTTGTTCTTCTTTTCCTCTGTTCCTGTCATCTGTAGGTTGGCTACAGGAGTTGGGTAAGCGTCTGGAGACTCCTTACACGAATGGTACAGTTGGTGGCCCATCTTTGCGCAGCGCCTACATCGCTTCGCTCTACTTCACGTTGAGCAGTCTGACTAGCGTCGGGTTCGGAAACGTCTGTGCCAACACAGACGCTGAGAAGATCTTCTCCATCTGCACCATGCTTATCGGGGGTGTGTTCACCAGTACATTTCAGGCCAAATGTATAATTAACTTGTTTGTAGGTCAAACAAGCCTCTTTTTAAAAAAAGAAAATAAGCAAGTGTTTCATTTCAGAAAAATATGGTGTCTAATTTAAGATGCAGAACATATTGTTCAGATATGAGATGATTCAGACTCTCTTAATCTTGTCACAGCCCTGATGCATGCGGTGGTGTTTGGTAATGTGACAGCCATCATCCAGCGCATGTACTCTCGTCGCTCGCTCTACCACACGCGCATGAAGGATCTGAAGGACTTTATCCGTGTGCATCGCCTGCCTCAGCAGCTGAAACAGCGGATGCTGGAGTACTTCCAGACCACCTGGTCTGTCAACAATGGTATCAACGCAAACGAGGTGAGACCCAACAAACCATCACAGGACCATGGCTCTTGAGAGAGAGCTGCGGAACATATGACTAAAATATTTACGCAGTAGCATGACAGTTTAATTCACTCGCTCCATCTTCAATATTTAATTGTGTGGAGGCTCAGATTGAGTCTATATTTTTGGAATAAAGTGTTCTATGGAGTAAATTGTAGAACAAACTAAAGGGTTAAATATAGAACCCCAATTAACTTTTTTTTTCTAAGAGTGTAAAAGCCCCCATCAGAGTTTGATGATATACTAGCATCATCAGATAGAGGACAATTCATGAGCAAAGATCTGGGTCACATCTACTTTCAATGGACTAATTATAGCTTTCCGAGAATTACACTAATGCTGAAAACTGTCATTGTTAAAGCAATAAGAACGGAAAATTGATTAGGCCACAATGAAAAGATCAATATCTAAAGGAAGCCTGCAGGTGCAGTGTATGAGAAGCTACTTTAAATTAGTAGCTTGTTACTGGATGGATGGATGGATGGATGGATAGATAGATAGATAGATAGATAGATAGATAGATAGATGGTGAAGTAAAGAATTTAAGTAAAGACAAAAGATTTTAAATGAATTATCTTTTCATTCAATTCCATTCATCAGAATCCTGAAAAAAACATAGCACAGTTTCCACAAAAATATTAAGCAGCATAACTGTTTTCCTCATTGATAATAATAAGAAATGTTTTTGAGCACCAAAGCATATGAGACTTAGGTAACACTTTATTTTACGACCCGCAAACAACTGTGTAAGTACACAGAAATTACGGTGTACGTTTCTGTAATTATAGTGTACTTCCGTGTAAGTATAAGGGAACAATATGTTAAGTTTGGGGTAATAAAGGGGTAACAAGCAGATATACAACCTGCAAATAACTTCGTAAGTACACAGAAATTACGATGTACGTTTCTGTAATTATAGTGTACTTCCGTGTAGGTATAAGGGAACAATATGTTAAGTTTGGGGTAATAAAGGGGTAACAAGCAGATATACAAGCAAATTATTTAATTAGTTAAAAAATAACAGGTACCTATTCTTTTAATATATTCCAGGCAAAAAATGTACGTCTGTTGTTAATAAAATGTATCACATTTCTGGCTAAATATGTTCTTGTGCAATGTTACAGGGTAATTTTGACATCTGTGGGTTGAAATATAAAAACACACACATATATATATATATGATAAAAATCAAATTTATTGGCTTTTCTTACTAGATTACTTAATGCTAAATCAAAATAATTATTTTCTGTTATGATTTTAATTTAAACTGTACCTTGTGATAATTAGTACTTACCTTATCCCATTGAATTGCAATGACACTTAAACGTCAGGGCAAATATACTCTGTAATTAAAACTTTTTTTGTTGTTGTTTTATTTTCTTGATTACTTCTCTGTAATTACAGTGCAAATAGTGTTGTTTCGTATTGCTACAAAGTAAATACAAAGTAAGTAGCGTTTGTTACCCCCTTGTTCTGTGTATTTACAGGGTAAGTGTAACCATTGCGGGCTGTAAATTAAAGTGGTGCTTGTTACCCCCTTTTTACCCCAAACTTACATATTGTTCCCATATACCTACACGGAAGTACACTATATTTACAGAAACGTACATCGTAATTTCACTGTACTTACGAAGTTATTTGCAGGTTGTATATCTGCTTATTACCCCTTTATTACCCCAAACTTAACATATTGTTCCCTTATACTTACACGGAAGTACACTATGATTACAGAAACGTACACCGTAATTTCTGTGTACTTACCCAGTTGTTTGCGGGTCGTAAAATAAAGTGTTACCGAGACTTATTTCAAAAACATTAAAACGTGTTATGAAAAGTTGTGTATATAACGATTGCACATAAAGACATTCAATGATGTATATTTTTTTGTAATCAGAGCAGTCCTTATGTGGTCAATTATTATTATTTTTTTTAAATAACTACAATGAGATGAATATAAATTACTGTAAATGCAACTGATAAAAATAGAAAAACAATCCAATTTCTATTTTTCAGTTGGTAGATGATAAAAATTAAGTAAATTATTTTTTTAAGTGAAAATTGTATGGAAAATCTCTTGCAAGGGTTTAAAAGAATCAGTGAATTGCTCTTTTGTTCTGAATTAGAGACTAAAAATCAATCTGACTTTTATAGAGAGATTTGTTTAGAAGTGTGTATTTAATTATTTCTTCAGCTTGCTCAGCTGTAAAGCTTTGCGCACAAAACAGTATTAGGCAAAAGTTACATGTTGCTATAAAAGCTACACTACTATTAAAGCAGCTGAGCTACAGCCATATTTCTAAAAATGAAGTTTAGTTAGTTGCATTATTACTGTAGTTAGTTACTCCTCAGTGATGTGTATCTGTAGGAAGAAAAACAACAACTGACAAGTGTGGCCCAGCTCATTTACACTCTCATCTGTCAGGCTGCTAGTTTATGCTGTGAAAAACAGCAGCTACTCTAGATGCCTGGTATTGCATCTGTTTGAGATCATACTGAAAGAGAGATTCTGATCTCTAAGAAAAGGGATGACCTCATCGAATATTTTACGAAAACAACATTACTATCGCATAATGATCACATTGGACAGTGTTAGAGTAAAATAGCCTCTTTTTTTTTACAACTCTAAACATGATCCTTAAATCTCCTCAATGTACTGTGGGTAATATCCATCTGTCTACTTGTCCATTAGCTTTTACATGACTTCCCAGACGAGTTGCGGGCAGACATCGCCATGCATCTGAACAAAGACATTCTGCAGCTGCCTCTCTTCTCCTCTGCCAGTAGAGGGTGCCTGCGTTCACTATCCTTGCACATTAAGACCTCCTTCTGTGCACCTGGAGAGTACCTGATTCGCCATGGAGACGCCCTGCATGCGCAACACTTCGTCTGCTCTGGGTCTTTAGAGGTCCTCAAGGACGGCATGGTGCTTGCCATACTAGGTACGTTCCAGAGAAATGTAGAAAAATATCTACATAGACAAAAGCTGTCCAAGGGCGGTACCAAAAAAGTCACCAAGTCAAGCAACTTGTCCGAAAGGTTCAGTAAGTGTATTTTGAGAAACTGTTGATACTTGAAATCAGCTTGACCAAACACACTCCTTCTTTCATTGCTCCGCCCTCAAAATGCACAAACATGCAATACAAGAGAGGAGGGCTGCATCCAAAGTCACATACTTCTCTTCTAAATAGTAGGCGAAAACAGTATGGGACAAGAGTAGTCCGAATTCACAGTACTCATAAAACAGTTGGTAAAAGTACCCGAATGACCCACTTCTTCCAGCGAGATTGTGAAGTGTGCATACGATGGAAACTTCTTGTGAGGCCACAGGAGAGGATTTGTGAATGGCATGTGAAGTGACGCAACTGACGCTGGTAGATTGCATGATAATGCCAACATGGCTAATGTAGTACCCGGTTTAGTACCCTCCTGCTGCTGAGACCTAACCACAATCTCACAAACTCTCAATGTTACTCTCGAATGGAGCAGAAACAACGCAACCTCTGCGTCTAATTTCAGGCCTTCCCACTTAGGTCTCTCCAGCGCTGTAAATCTTTTCTAATACTATGGCGGGGCGGGTCCTAAAGCTTGTGTCTGATCATAACCCTTCTTTTTCCAGTGATATTCCTCTAAGCTTTTCTCTTTTGCAATGTCTTTCAGCCATCTCTGTTTTGTTCAAATCTCTTGCTCACTCTCTCTCCTCCACCATCATGAGTGGAGACGTCCCCTACTGTTGATTGGTTGCAATTGGTTACTGAAGTTTGTTGTCCACTTTCAACAACGTTTCTCATAAATCGCTTACTGCACCTTTAAAGGGTCTTGTTAATTAGTGAGATAATGAATTAAACTGATAAGCTCAGTTCTGCATGTGGTCTGTTTATCTTAGCACAATTAAATCAAACAACAGCTTGACTCGCATGTAGTGACATGTTTGTCTGGTACACAGGTAAAGGAGACCTGATTGGTGCTGACCTGCCTGGGAAGGATCAGGTGATCAAAGCTAATGCAGATGTGAAGGCCCTGACCTACTGTGACCTGCAGTACATCAGTGTCCGAGCGCTGCAGGAGGTTCTAGAGCTCTACCCAGAATATGGCAGCCGCTTCAATGAGGACATTCACCACAACCTCACCTACAACCTCAGAGAGGTAAAGTGCTTTATTTAAACACACAATAAATAAATAACAATTTGCCAATGCTGAGAGAGAGGACCCAAAAGCGAAAGCAGGTAATAATGTCTTTAATAGAAATTAGGCAATTGGCTGCATAGGCTGGCAAACAGAAATTCTCTCAATAATAATGAATATAAGCTGGCAATGACTGGAGACCGGGAAATTCAGGCTCGTAGAAGAGAACAGCGTAGGCGAATAGCAGCGGCCATAGACTGGGGACCGATCTCAGTGTTCAGTAGCAGGAGAGCTGGGCAGAGCATAAGTTTAGAACAAACACTCAAACGAAGACTAGACGAATTGGCAATGAAGCCCAGGCAGAGACAAAGATAGAGACAAAGGAGAGAAGGGAACTAGAAGTAGAGGAGCTAATGAGACAGAAAGAGAGGACGGGTATGGAAAAGAAGGTACTGATTGCAGAGGGAGATGAGGAACAGCTGAGTATGAAAGAGCGCATGTACTGTAAGTGTGTGTGCGTGTGTGCATGAGTCTGTGTGTGAGTGTGTGTGTGTGTGTGTGTCTGCAGGGGCAGAAGGCGAGAGAGGAAAAATACCAGGATCATGACGCAATTAGATATACTGTATAATAATGATAATTATTTATTAATTTAAATAATTTATATACAGTATGCAAATTACAGCTGGAATTGGCCAATCACTGTTTTCGAGAGTCAAATTATTTAGTGTCCATTAAATTTATTTTAATGACAATTAAACCATGTAGTTGACTTCCTTCATAGCTCTGCTAGTCTTTTGTATCACTCAGAAGTCTCTTTCTTTTCACAACATTTTAATCTTCAAGCATTGCGTCAGTTCTGGCAGGTCACATTAGTCAAGTTCGCATCAGCTGACTCTCAGCTGATCCACATCTACCTATAGGAATACGACGCCTATCACTATATACATATACAAGCTTTTAAAATATCAATACATATGTATATATATATATATATATATATATAGGTCAAAACTGCAGTAAAAGAGATAGTACTGAATGCATGGTGTTAGAGAGGGCATCCGTTGGATCTACCTCCCCTGCAGCTTTATTATGTTCCAAATGACCCATTCAAACAGCCTATCTCAGCCTTCACCACTAATCCAGTTGTTATCCATTCAATTAAACCTGGAACCAGTTTAGAAGGATCTTTAATCTCACTGATATTTAAATAGTTCAATTCAGAAATCATTCTAATATGCTGATTTGCTGCTCAAGAAACTCTCATTATTTATTATTATTATTATCATCAATGTTGACAAGCATTGATCATGGATTTTATTTTTGTGAAAACTGATGATACATTTATTTTCAGGATTCCTTAATAAATAGACAGTTCAATAGAACATGTCCTTGCTCAATAAAAGTATTAATTTCTTTGAAAAGAAATCTTACTGACAGCAGTGTATATCAAATTCTTATTTACTTATTATATCTTTATATGCAAATTAAATTTGTTATCTGGAATATTTACCACATTCGGCAGTCACATATTTTTGAGACTTGTATTAAGATTTATATACTACCATTATATAACTTTAACAATTAACTGACTTCCTCCTAACTTCCTTTCTCTCATATTACATAATATGAGAGAAAGTATACTGTTATTATATGTTAATATATACTAATAACAGTAATATATATTGTCATATGTTGGAAGTGTGCATTTTTCAGTGTGAGCTTGGGTCATAATGGTACTGGATTTTCTTCTATCTCAACAGGGCCATGCCAGATTCTTTCGGTCAACTCGACTTCCACAGGTACAGTAACAAGCAGATTTGCTGTCCATAAACTTGACGCTTTTTTTATCATTCCTTTTAACCTTTTGATTAACACTCCAAGCTCGCATACGTGTGACTCCGCTGACATTTCTGTATCCCACGCCCACATTACATAAGCTCCCCAATTATCAGTGTCACTCTGAACTGCAGACGCTGTGTGTGTGCGACATCACAGCTGGCAGACAGCAGCTCATCTGGATGTGTCTGAATCAGGTGAATTAGTAATCTGTTTGTGGCCCTGGCCCTCCGTCTCATTGCTGTGCCAGCTGTCTTAATGATCAGAACAGCCACACACACAAAAACACACACACACACACAAACCAAAGGAAGGATACAGAAGCACTCTCACACAAGAGGAAGAAGAAGAACACGATGACATGCACAGAACAGTGACTCATTAATCATTTTGATCTTGAAACCCCACACAGTAAAATATGAAGTGGTCATAGACCTTAAAAAAGGCAGCCGTTTTCATGGACTTTTTTTCAGTTCAGTATTTCGTTTTTTTATGTAAATTTGAACATAAGAAAATGTTCAAGACGTCGAGAAGTTGTTTCACTTGGATATACGATATGTCACTATAGGGACAAAAAGACTTTCGCAAATAGAAAGTTCTGTTTTAAAACTGTGGATAATGCAGGCTGATAGGTCCTCAATCAGCTTGCAGTTACATCATTATCTATTGGGCACAGCTGATTGGTTCCTGCTTATCAGTAGCCAATGAGCTTGCTGCTCAACCTTAAAGGGTTAGTTCACCCAAAAATGAAAATTAAGTCATTAATTACTCACCCCCATGCTGTATCAACCCCGTAAGACCTTCGTTCGCCTTCGGAACACAAATGAAGATATTTTTTATTAAATTTGAGAGCTGTATAACTACCACATTGGCTCCTAAGGGACTGCCTCTTGACGGCCCAGAAAGTCAATGAAGAAAATGTTTAAATATCCCAAGTGACTACCGTGGCTCAACTATATGTTTATCAAGCGACGCGAATACTTTTTGTGCGAAAAAACAAACAAAAATAACGAGTTTATTCGACTATTTCTTTTCTTCCTTGTAGGCCAGAAACGAGATTTCCTTAGATTTCCACGACGCATGCGCGAGATTTGCGATCTGCTTTACACCAGCTTACACTACTTCAGATCGCAAATCTCGCGCATGCGTCGTGGAAATCTAAGGAAATCTCGTTTCTGGCCTACAAGGAAGAAAAGAAATAGTCGAATAAACTCGTTATTTTTGTTTGTTTTTTCGCACAAAAAGTATTCGCGTCGCTTGATAAACATATAGTTGAGCCACGGTAGTCACTTGGGATATTTAAACATTTTCTTCATTGACTTTCTGGGCCGTCAAGAGGCAGTCCCTTAGGAGCCAATGTGGTAGTTATACAGCTCTCAAATTTAATCAAAAATATCTTCATTTGTGTTCCGAAGACGAACGAAGGTCTTACGGGGTTGGTACAGCATGGGGGTGAGTAATTAATGACATAATTTTCATTTTTGGGTGAACTAACCCTTTAAAATACTTGGTCAGCATTTGCAGCCCACTTTCATGAACCCTCCAACTTCCCCAGCTCCACCTGTGTAGATTTGCTACGAGTAATTTATGTGTACAGCAGCAGCATTTCTTACTTGCTCACAGCAGCGTGTCTGTGTATGTATTGGCAGTAGCAAGTCTCGCACTCGCTTTGCCGCAACAGCAGCGTAGCATATCTGTTCCACTAAGACCAAATATATCAACATTGTCATGCCCAGCATGCTAAACACTTACAAGTTGTAATGACAGAACTTCCATTTTTGTATCACCTTAAAAAGAGTATAATTTAACATTTTTGATGAATGATTGAATCAAAAGAATAGGATTAGCTTGAAATCTTTTGTAACGTTTATAAATGTATTTACTGTGACTTTTTAACAATGTAATTCAGCCTCACTGAATAAAAGTATTCATTTATTTTTATTTTTAAATGTTTGACATACATACATACTTAAAGGGTCATGAAACTCTAAAACACTTTTTTTTCTTGAAAACATCGCATGCATATTTAACACATGAACACCCATAAGACAAACACATTTTTGTTTTGTTTGTTTTATATTAAAAAAAAAAGGATAATAATTTTAATAGAGGAATAAACTCATCCTATCACAAGACATTCCTTTAATACTTTTTTTTATTTCTAAACATGGCAACCAAATCAAGAACAAGGGCCAGGTTTACTAACAGCTTGCGCCAACACAAACCCTCTTTTGCAGTATTTGGCGTAGGAGAGTATTTAAATGAATCACGCAAGGTGATTTACTAAGGTTTGCGCTCGTCAATGCACTGGTGTTTGTGCCATTATTTGCCGCCCGAAAAAAACCTGTCTTGAACCAAATGCTTCCTGGTAGATTGCGTTTGTCTTAATGGAAATGATCTGATTGCGTCTGTGTTCATTAATTTACACGTCGTCAGTAGATCACGCGCAGAACTTTCCACTCCCATCTGTGCTGTATGGAATTGCGATCTCACGCTGATTTGCCCTGTTTTGTAAATCTTCCCCCAAAAAGTGTAAAAAGAAAGTGTCAGCATGCTGTAATTATATGCACCCGCATGTGCAAGAGGCCAAAATGGGTCACAGAACCATTTTTATCAGTGTAGGCTAAAATTTATTAATCCAACTTACCTGGATGGTATGTTTCTTATGAGCTCCAAAAAATAATATTAATCAAGTAAAATTTTGGATATATTTTAGCATTGTTTACTTGCTATAAGAATCCTCCTTTTTCTAGTGCAGTGTTCAAGCGGCAGTATTTATTTCTCACACTCAAACACTCATGCATTTCCTGGGCTCTGTAATTGACTAAAAACAATTCATAAAGCTGTGATTATCTCCATTGGTAATACAATCAAAAAATAACAACAATCAACCAGTGGCCTCTAAATCACCTTTGTTTTTATCCCTTTCTATCCCTTCTAGGAACACTATGACGATTCCAAGCTACCCTTTATTGTGGAGGAAGAGCAAAAGGAGGATGCTGGACAGAACCAGAGCAGGAAGCCCCTGCTGTCCAGCTTGAGTGGTCCTTCATCTCAGACTAATCTGAGTGCCATGATAGGGGAGGAGTTTCGGCACCTTAGCTTGCTCCGTCTCTGCAGATCGCCCATTAAAAGCTCCCGGGTACAAAGCCCTGCTCCTCAGATGCCACTTCATGAGGATCTGTCTCCAGGTGCAGTTCCCGTCCCAAGAATAAACAACAGCTTCTGCCACAAACCAGCCAAACTGCTCATTCCCACCCTGAACTGTGTCAGCCCTCTGGACCTGAGCCCGCGGTAAGCAGAAACCAGAATTCATTATTGCTTTTTTATTATTTCATTATTTTTATTATTTGTATTCTTTGCTTTAACTATATTTGCAGTGGCACTACCTCTAGAGGAAAACACTCATATAAAATATTAATGATATTGACTGCAGATAATATTTATTTTTGATGTACTAATGTCCTCATGTCTGTCCTGTAGGGTTGTTGATGGGATTGAGGATAACGAACATGCTTTTCACTTCAATGTTGAGCACAGTGAGCCATCTCCTTACACAGAGGTCAAAGGTGAGGTGGACTCTCCCTTAATATTAGAATAGTGCATAATAGTTAGGATCATATGGTTTAGAAGGTTCTCAAACTTTTTTTACTCTAACCCATTATGTCAACACACCGTTCTTCAGTCCACTATGCAGTTATGGAGGGCAATTACATGCATCTTACGCCTATTACTTTTAATGACCTGACAATCTGTAAGGTCAAGTACAAACCTGTTATTGTATAAATGTTAAAAATGTCACTTTTGCACTTTGTCACTTTGGGAGGACCTTTTACTCCCATTCTGGTAGCTTATTCAGTGTGCGCATGTTATTTTCATTTTGTTGTACATATACTGTAAACACACTGATTATGCATATTTAAGCCACCAGTAATTGTGCTCCTTCCTTCACTGACTCTTAATTATCCAAATGCAGAATAATTATTATTAGTATATTTCCATTGTAAATTTAAAAAAATACCTATTGAGAAAAGCTGCTGCATATTCAGTTAATTTAGGTCGCATTAATCTGGAGAAAACCCCTGAGATCCCAGTGAGACTGATTTATCTGATAATATAATAATTCTACACATAAATCTGTCAGTTTCTTACTTGTTTTGGCCCTTTTAGATCCGTTTCAGGTCAGCGCAAACCTTCTCCTTGAGACAGAGGAAGTCAGACAGAGTCTCCGTCAACTCAATACAGAGGTATCAGAAAACACCTACTGCAAATCAACAGAAATAAAATAGGTTTTCTTATTTATGACATTTGTCACCAGTATTTGTTATTCATTAATATTCTGACATTAACATTTGAATTTGTTCCAGATGAACCACCTGAACCAGGAAGTGTCCTCACTGACCAAGGAGCTCCACGAAATGATGCAATTCCTGCATTCACACCTGACCCCACCGCACTTCAGCTCCTCTTTTACTCCCTTCAGCTCTTTCAACTGTCATACATCACCCAACTGCACCAACGTGGCTTCCTCTACCGCCGACTGGCCGTCTAGGCTGGGCTTTAACATGCCGACCAGTCCTTGCCTGCAGCCGGATCCCTCTTGTAGAGATTCTTTAGGATCCAGGCACACGTGCATTTGCAGCGTCAGCCATGCCCAGGAAAGAGGCTCCATCCTGGGGCAGGAAGGGGACATTGAGCTCCTCAATCAAGCCCCCAGCTCTCACTCAGCCTATTTTCCATGCTGCCCTGACCAGGAAAGGGTTGCTACCTTGGGTGTAGAGAGTCAGCTAAACCCATATCAGACTTCTAAGACCACACCAAACTCTCCTTATCCAGGACACCACGTTCCCCGCACTGGCGGGTCACTCTTAGGCTTGGCGTCCAGTGGTTTGGTCCCTCAGGTTCAGAGTGGGGGTCCGGGCAACACATCGTCTCTGATCACCCATAACATCCAGAGTCAGTCGCATCCGTCTTTAAACATACAGATGACATCTGACCTGCACTCCAGGGCACCCATACCCATCCATTTATCCGTTACACCAACCGGCCCATCAGAGCCTCTCTTAGCAGTCAGTTCGCATTTGCATTCCGGGATTTGTAGTTCCAGCTTGCTACATTTCCCTACAGGCCTGAGACAGAATGATCTGGTGGGATCAAGTCCTGTTCACACACTTGAGCCCATCGTTTCATCCACTGGAGGGAAACAGGTGAAGCCAGGAACTGCTGAGGAACGACACATTGATTAAGCCATCACTGAGCAGGAGTGATGGACATATTAAGAAGAGTCGTCTAACATGCTCTTTGTCTCTTGCATGGATAATGCCCTCATTTTAAGCCAAATGCAATGCATTGTGGGAGCAGTGTAGGTGGGTTATGCTAGATAAGCATGATAATGTGCACAACTGTGCCTATTGTTTCAAAATTGCCACTTTTTAGATTAAAGTAGGACTTAAAGGTCAGTATGAGTCATGGTTAATTGTATTTAGCTAAAATCTGTTTCCACTGGTTGGGTTTGTCTTACTTAATATGGCTTGATTTTACATTGGCAGTTTTACCAAGTAGGTTTTGCATAAGACAGTGTCCCCTAGGACTGAGTCATAGATTACGAAGAGCCAGAATCTTTTTCAAAGCCTCACTTTAAATCTCTTTCAGTTTGAAAACCATTAAAATGTACCTATTTGCATGATATAATACGATTTTATTTCCCTGGCATTTTCTGCTAAAGGGACAGTTCACCACAAAATTTTGTCATCATTTACTCACCCTCATGTTGTTGCAGACCTGTATGACTTTTTATTTTGTGGAACATAAAAGATCATTTGAGAAGATGCCTTTTTTGTTGTCATAAAATAGAAGTCAATAGTAACCAGAATTGTTTGGTTTCCAACTTATTTTATTTAGTTATAATTGTATAATTTTACCAAAAACTACTTGAATTGTTTGTCTCTTGCACGCAGAATGTTTATAAAAGCATGTGCAGAACAATATACATTTATTTTTGTTGCTGATCCTCTTTTTTCATCGTCGGAAAGTTTTGGGGAAAAAAATATTGATTTATTCTTTGTCTACATACAGTATATATTTTTCTGGGCCTGTTTCATGCCTGTATTGTTAAATAAAACTTACGTTTCCTTATCTCTCAGTTGCACCTGCACTGTAAAAAAATGTTGTTGATTTCACTCATTATTTTGTGTTATCTTTTTGCACATTTTTTTTTTTGTTTTTTTTTAGTTTAACTAACTTTTTTGGAAAAGTGTACCTGCCAAATTTGGAAAGGTTTACCTGACAAGTTGTAAAGTATAATGAACTGATTTAATTTAGTGGTAAACTTTGAATCTAAATTCGGACAACTAAAGTTAAGTTTTCTAAACTACATCCAATAAGTTCATCCAACTAAAATGGTGTTTTGAAACTTTAAAAACCATTTGTAAAATACATTTGATTTAACAAAAGGTGCTGATCTGAGGGTGCTCCAGCAAGGCTGGAATTGGGCAGAATTGTCTTTGTGAAGGAGGCAGGAATCAAGCCACATGCAAGGTTGTCCTGCACGAAAACTTGCTTCCTTCTGCTCTTACAATGTTCCCCAACTCTGAAGATTGTTGTTTTTTTTTTTTTTCCCAGCAGGACAATGCTCCATGCCACACAGCCAGGGCAATCAAGGTGTGGACTGAGGGACCACCAGATCAAGACCCGGGCATGGCCAGCCCAATACCCAGACCTGAACCCCACTGAAAACCTCTGGAATTTGATCAAGAGGAAGACGAATGGTCACAAGCCATCAAACAAATCAATCGCTCTGACGCGCAGAGACACTTTAATAGCACTTAGCTTAGCCCAGTTCATTCATTAGGATTCAAACAGAGATAAAGTTAGAAGCGACCAAACACCTCCACGTTTTCCCGATTTAAATACTGTTACACAAGTAGTGTAACTCGACCAAGCATATTGACACAAAATAAAACGTGTCGCTTTTCTAAGCTTGTAAAATGGATAACTATGTATGGCGGAATAGCACTTGGGAGTACTTTAAAAATTAAATTACTAAAAAAGTACCAAAGTAAAAATTGGGAGTACTAAAAAAATTCACATTTAAAAAAAAAAAAAAAAAAAAAAAAAAAAAAAATTAAATTAATGGCTTTGCGATTGTAAAAAATGAATTTGTCTGTTGAAAATGCCCTCTTCACAGAACCATAACTGTGTTTGCCACCATTGCTCATGGTGTAGGTTTGATTGGCCCATTACACGAGAAACCAGGCTGTCCTCCAAAAAAAACAAAAAAAACAAACAAACAAACAAACAAACAAAAAAACAGATTGTATTGGAAGTTAATTAAGCTGCTTTGTGGCTGATCAATTCTCATCAAATAAAATTAAAAAAAAATCTCAATAGGTTGAAAGATATACAGTGCCTTCCACTTCTGGCAACCATGGTAAATATGAGCAAAACAGAGTGTAGGCTTTACACTGTCACATTACTTTCGTAGAAACTATCCAAAATCAACATGCTGACTGTTGTTTTATTATTCAGTTTATGTGAATGTAACATCAGGACCATTAATCTAACCTTACATCTAAGTAAACATGCATATTGGAAGAATCTAGTTTAAACACATACTAAGTTGGCTTTGCACATATCTTCTCCAAAGAGATGTTTCTTTAGACGCCCACCATCTCGCTCTTTCTGTCTACATCAGGGCTCCAGACACATCATTAGCCACAGGAGGCTACCCACACAGGCTGCTTGGTTGTGGGAAAATCTTAACAACCTGTTATCTCTCAGCTCCTCCCCAGGCCATGAATGCCTCATGTCAACATTTCATAAAGGATATCTGTAGACTGTGCATCTTTTTCTGTTAAATCTGAAATGCAGCTGGAACATTGGATGATGGGGTAGAGGCGTAGAGCCTTGCCGTCAGCATCTGAAAAGATAGCCTATAGGCTAGGTCTATTCTAATTTGTTTGGCCATTTAGAGTATCTTTTTTTAAGGTATTCATTTATTGAACTTATTTAATTTTTTTACTGATAATGAGTAAACAGTTGCTGTGTGTAAAATTATCACATGATTAATGGCATAAAGCAGCTGTTATTGTCAGCCTGAGCTGCCACCTACGCACAACTTGCTGCTCGCTGATTGTACTGACATACACTGGTAATTAGCATGTTTGTTGCATCTATCACACTATAGATAGGTCAGAACTAAATAAAGGAATATCGGGAAAATACAATGTAGATGTAAAATAGGCCTATGGATAGGGGAGGAGTTACTTCAGTGGTTCTCAACAGGATGCATACAATATTTTAAATGTAAAATATATTATTAATCAATTAAAATAATTTGTATGTAACCAAATACACTGCTGAATAATAGCTAACCAAGAATGTGTGAATTCTTTTGAGTCAATTAAAAAAGCAAGATAAAAATATAGGCTAACCTCTCAATTCGAGGCAAACTGTTTGTCTTCTTTATAACATTCTGTCCCATCACTTCTAAAATAATGACTATACGGCCGATGTTCTCCCCCTCTATTTATTGTTTGAATTTAAGAACCATCCGTTCTTGAAATTTCTGTAACCCACAAAGGAATCGTGTTTAATTAAACGCAATATCTTATCTTATTGTTTCTACAGTTTGAAAACAAGCACATTTGTCGTAGGCTATAGCAGAAATATTAGAAATTCTGAAAACATTTTTGTGTTGGACGACTGAGGGCCTGGGTAAAAAAGGCTGAAGATCATTACGTTACTTTACCTGATAGAAATAGAAACAAGCCAGCGTTTTAAGAGAGAGAAAAAACGGGTCTATTATAAGTTTAATTGGCCTGTAGTGCCCCAGCTCGGTGATTAATGGTTAGTACATGCTCTTCAGCCACATTCAGAGCTCATCTTGTTTTCATGCACTTGCTTTGATTTTGCAACATCAAGGGTCGTATTTTAAGCACTCGATCAGACTAAAATGGATCAGCCTAAACTATTTGATAGCCGTGCTTCTAATAACAACTGTGGAGAAGCCTATTACCTTGTTATTGTTAGGCCTAGGCCTATATGTTATTATGCCCATGGAGATGTGGGTTCTCAAATGACATATCAAGTGTTTAAAGTTTTGTTTATACAGTTTATGTATTATAAAAGATAAATTAAATTAATTTCAGACTAATGGTCAAATTAAAAATAACAAATGAAATAGTCTATATCCTCCTTAATCTTCAAGACATTGACATTACATGGAAATATGACTTTTAACGTAGCCTATTGTTTAACGTTATATGTATATATGTATATATATATATATATATATATATATATATATATATTACTATTATAAAATGTATTAATTTAGTAGATTTAGATTTTGGATTTTCAGTTTTTTATTTTGACAGGAATGATTTTAATAGTTTGAATAGCATCGCCTAACACGAAAAGTTAGCTATAAGTCATATTTTCAGTTTACAAAACAAAACAAAAACAAATGCGTAGTTTCTGAATTAAATTTCTTAAAAAAGAAAATCCATTACGGAGAAAAAAACGTGCTCTCAAAACATAGCTATAACAATTAATTACTCTGTAAAATAATTTTAAGGAAAAGCATAGTTTGAAATGTAACCTTTCCACCTATGCTTTCAACAAATAAAATGAGAAAAGTAGAGGCAAATATAAAAATAAAAAAACAATAAATATAAATAATATCTATTATTATAGTCTTGTTGTTGGTGAGAAATGTGATATTATGGGCCACCATCACGTCAAAACATATCAATATCAAAAACATCATATCCAAACAAGCCCCTCCTCCTCGGAAGAAGGTGGATTACGGAAGTTCGTCCCTTAAAGCGGAAGTGAAGGCCAAAGCCCGTCGACAGGAGACGCTTGAGGCGGCTGGAGGGGAATTTTCTCTCATTCTGACAGCCAAGGATTTAACAGAAAGAGTAAAGCGCCGCACTCGTATCTCCAGGTAACCTCTTTCTGGTTTTGTATTAATATGTTTGTTGGAAGGTTATTGTTAGCTGGTCGTGGTTTACTGATATAGAGGAACTGTCAAGACTGTTAGCCGATGCTCATGACGCTCCTGAGCCGCTCCTCTGGATCTTTCCCTCAGCGACATAAAAAAGGAAGAATAATTCGGGCCTCTCTATCTATCTGTCATGTTCCGAATATCTATCTTACGGCAAACGTCAGTTTAATGGAGAAGGCTTCTATGGGTGTGTTGGTACACATCATGTAAATATATGTGTGTTTGATCAGATCCCCGATCAGCAGCTCTGAAGTTTGACCATCTAATTACAGCAGGGCTTCCTTGTCTTATCATTAACCGTTGTCATGCAGCCGGACACGCATCTCTGTGGTGTCGCTAAACGCCTATCGAATTGCTATTACAGTATTAGTAAGGGTGATACTTCTCCAAACGTCTACATGTCTTACATATTAACGTGTGATTCTATCGCTTTCAAAAACTTTTCTTTAGCTCAGCCCGTTTTTTTATTTATTTTTTTATCATCAATGTAACGTTAGCAGGTTCACCGGCGTTGAGTTGAATACTTGTGGTCAGAGGTCGTGGGAGGAGCAGATCAGAAGTGAAAGACATCGGACTTCATGAGGAAGTCAATAATGTGGCCTGAGGAGGCTTGATTGACAGGTCAGCTAAATGAGTCATCACTTAAGATCGCACATGCATTGATATGAGCTTAGAGCTGTTTGATTGCATTGGCAATATGCTTTTATGATAGCAGTCCACCTCTTTATAGAGGTAATATTATGATTTATTGATGCATTCATAAATGTATTTCAATTAATCATATCACCTGTTCAGACTTGTATAATATAAAGCATTATTTTCAATTATGAATTTTCACATTTGATGCTGAGAGGATTTCTATTCAAACACACATTCACTGTCCTGTTGCACATGGTGACCTTTTGTTCAGGAGAAGCACTTGATGCTCACATGACTTGTGAAACCTGCTTTCTTTAGTGCTGTTTTACAGTCTCGTAATGTCATTGTCTTTGAGATATAAAATAGTGTAGGGTTGCTTCTCGTGTGTGAGGAGGCAAATTAAAATATAAAGAGACGTCATTACGATGCAAATGCATCTCGGTTACTGTGTGTCGCTTTCTTGATTTGGCTGTCACTGAAGGTGAGCAAACAGGAACAGAATATTACTTTCATCTCCTAGTTCTGCTCCGG